AGAACGCCTACTGGATCAAACACATCCAGATCTATGCCTTCTTTAAATTTCTGTGCCTTTTTGTAATCTGTGTTAACCATATAAGGAGCAAATCTGGCTAACTCAGTGAACTTAGCCTCATACTCAGCTACAGTCATCTTATCTTGCTTGGGTTCTTGGAATTCTGACACTTTATGGTCTTTAAAACATTAGGAAAAATACTTCTCATAAAATATCACTTTAAACTGACTCTACGTCGTAGTCCCACTATTATCTCGAATAAGCATCCACCATTGTCTAGCTTCTTCTTTTAGAGTGTAGGTGGCCAAAAGAACTTTCTGAGTTTCCGAGCACGAGAACACTTCAAATATCTTTTCAGTCTCTAGCAGCCATGTTTCGACTTTCAACAGCTTAATACCACCCAGAAAGATTGGCGGCTTCATTTTGTTGAACTTCTGTGTCAGTGAAATAATTTCAGTGTTTTCCGGCTCAACTGGCACTAGAGGTGGTGGAGGGAGCATAGGTTGTTGTCTTTGTTGCTGTCTCATTGTATCTGTTAAAGCTTCTAACATTTGTTCTATTCAGCTCATTTGAGCCTTAGAAGATCCAGCTGTATCATCACTTCTTGTATTTTCCATTGCTACAGGTAAACAGGACAATAATAAACATAGGCATAATAATCTCGTTCTCTGTATTCAATTCCAATTCAATTGTTTCATATTGATTCCAATATGTTCACATCATTTCATTTTAGTTCGAGTATGTTCAAATAGTTCACACACCCACACATGTAGATGGAATGCCCCTAATCCTTTTCTAGGACATCCTATAGCTTATATGGACCTGTGTGTGAGGTATAACACATGCTCTGATACCACTCTGTCACGACCCAAACTCGCCTCTATAGGTTTAGCGTCGTAACCGACCAGTAATCCTAGGATTACTGAAGGCCTCTGAACAGAATAACAAAATATAAGAGATAATAGAAACAAATATATATAAAATAAAATGCCCATAGAGCTTTGTTGACGTACATGGGACAGAATATTGAAAACTTAAATATATACATATGACATCAAAATTACATAAGTTATGCATCACCATACAAATATTATCAAAAAGGACTTAGCCCAGTGTACGAGTAAACAAGAACAAAATAAATCCTTAACATGATCTACAAAAACTTGACTTTTTCATATGGGAACCTCCCGGGAGGCGCAAAGGTTGGTTGACAACAGACTTCCAGGAAGCCATCACTGAGCCTGGTCACGCTCTTGATCACCTACATACATAATATAAATTGTGAGCAAAAGCCCAGTGAATAATAACAGAATAAAGGGTTTAATGAATGATGTCCCATTTCAGATTCATATTCTTATTCAGAGTTCAGAAGCATGTACTTATTCAATTTCACAGATGATCATACGTGGTACATCCATTAGTACTAATAGATCAGATACAGAGCATTAAAGGTCATCATTGACTAGTTTCATAAAAGGATATCTAGTATCGGGAACAGATAACATACTTAAGCCATGACATTGTTATCCTCGGGCGAGGGCCATGAGACTACGATATTATTACCCCAGGGCAAGGGCCTTGTGCTCATACATCACAGTATTGTTACCCCCAGGCAAGGGCCATTTGCTAAGGATGTCACGAATACTTTTCAATATGTGGACAATTATTCATTGATATAGAACATAACATTTTAGAAAACAGATCATTTCTTGTCATATCACATAGGAAAATACTTAAACGTGAACATAGCTTTACAAAGTTATTACTTATAGATAGCTCAAATAGCAAAATAGCTATAGCAGACGGATCAGGCGATTTATGGCGCGTGACCTACACAAACACAGAACGGATACATATTGAAACACACACCCGTAATTTCTTTAACTTGGTTATTTCTTATCTTGGTGTGTTTCTAATCCATATCCTCATTATTATGTCTTAATCATGGCCTAGAAATTCCTATGATGCAATGAGAATGCCAAAATATGCCTTAGATCACTTATTCAAATTTTCAAAAACAGGGCAGTCCACTCAAGCGCAATATATCTCGCTTGAGCGGTCTGTAAAGTCTGCAAAAGTACTGGTTATGTAAATTTTCCGCTCAATGGCTGTTCGATAGTCGCTCGAGCGTGAAACTAAGTGAACAGGGTCCACAAAATTTTGTAAGCTCAACTTTCTACGCTCGAGTGGTGGCCCTAAGGTGTGAGTGATCGCTCAAGCACAACTTCCTACGCTCGATTGAACCCTCAAACTCTGTAAAAGTTCTGGGAACTCATATTTTACGCTCAAGCACAGGGTTCACTGCTCGAGCGGTGCGACCAAAATCTGGGATTTTAGGATTGCACGCCCAAGTTTCAAACTCGTCTTTAACCTTCAAAAACACATCCTTTTGAGCCCAAAGTTGAGAAAACATATATAAACTCATAAAACTTCATAAATTGAAAGCAATTACGCAAAATCAAGGCCTAAAAGCATGTGAATTACATAAAAGCAGAACTTGAAACTTTAAGAACACAATATGAACATAACATGCATGCCATTTCTTGAGTTTGACTCTTCCATATCATGATCAAATGAGCTAAATTGATGTAGAATGTGATAAATTCTAATAGCCAAGCTAAAATAACCACATACATGCAAGAATCCTTTGATAATTTGCTTCAAACATGATGAAATATGCATACATGCATGATCACTCTTAAATTCTTTCAATTCTAACTTAATTCAAGTGCTACCACACCTTAAATTCCTTTTGCATTTACATGAAATTAAGCCTAATGGCATAAAATAAGTGTTGAATCCTTACCTCAACTTCTCACTTAAGCTCTAGGTGATGCATTCACTAAGATTCCAAGCTAATTCCTTCCAAATTCTACCAATTCCCTTGTTGTTTCTCAATTTCTTCTTCCATCTTCTCTCTCTCTATCTCTCTCACGTTGGTCTCCAAGGATGAAGAAAATGAGAGTGTAGAGTGTATATAGAAGCCTTATATAGGCTTGATTAGGCCACTTAATTACTCTTAGCTAAAGTTTAAGTAAATTTATTTTAATTATTTGGTTTTAAATCAAATTTCAATTGAACCTACCATAAGGCTCTAAAAATCCCAAATAACACAAACTTAAACAATTTTGAAATCGAATGCCGATAAGGTCTTCAAATCGCAAATCGAAACAGAAATACCGACAGATATTTCTACGACAGACAGATATAAATCCAAATTAACACAATGCACATGCAATTACTCAAAATTTAGTCTTAATTACAGATTAGGCATCCTTAATCATACTTTAGTCGTTAATTACGGGTCGGGTTGTTACAATTTTTTTCAAAAATTCTTGTGCGAAATTATTTTTTCTAAACGAAATTAATTCAAATTTTGCATCAAATTTGAATTCAAATTTTCTGTTCAAACAGTGTCTCATCCAATCCAATCTCCAGCAGGTTCAAACAATTTAAACAGTTTGCACCGAACAGGTTCCATTTTCCAGCAGATTTGTTCAAGTTCAACTTACACTTGTTCAACTCAAAATCATACCTGTTCGAATCTGCCAAACAGTCACCAACTTTCCTATAAATAGGAGACATTTTCAGCAGATTTTCACATCTAGAAAATTAATTATCTTCCCGTTTTTGCTCTTTGTTTGCATTGTTCTTCATACTAGTTTTTAGAGAAATTTCTAAGAGTATAAAACACATATTCTAGTTCACCGTACAGATTGTTTGGAGTGCTATTACAATCTATCTAAGATCATTGTATCTTGGGAGATAGACGCCATTTATCCATAAGCACCGGTACGGGACGAATCTGTTTTAAGGACAAAGTGTCACATACTCGACTTAATCTTTTTTGTACCTATTCGTTTTGAAAAATAAATTCTGTAAGTAATTTATTTTTATTTATTTGATTTGGTTTCAAGTTATTTATTTTACACAAAAAATTGTTCCAACATAAGCTCCTGGCAAAAAAATAAAAATTAAAATCTAATGGGAAGAAGAAAATAAAAAAAGTTTCTTTGCAACATGAGAAACTGTTATATAAGATTAAAAGTAGTATAAAAAGTCTCAACTCATATAATTAGCAGCTCTTTTATGTATCATGAAAATTGTCATCAAAATACAAGTTACGTGGGAAAATGTTGGCAATTTTCAAGGCGATATTTTCGTCGTGTCTAGCTTTTCTGTATGATTACACAATCAAAATGTTGATTCCATTGATAATATATGGGTGTTTGGAAAGTTGCTATTTTAGTAGGTTAAAATTTTTGTATTTAGAAAAATAGTTAGATTTTTTTATATTGGATGTGATGTTTGTGAGAGAAAAAATAAAATGATTATGAATTTGATATAACATTTTGTCTTATTGACAATGTTAGCCTATTTTGTCTTTTTATAAATTTTAACCGAAGAAGTCCAAAAATAGCCTTTGCCAAACACCCCTATAATGACCAAATTAAAATTTCACAAAAGATGGACACACAGAGAAAGAGGCACCACAGGAGAGATGTAAAATCAATTATATATAATAGAAAATCCCATATGGAAATCAATACATGGCCAATGTATGGCTATGCTGTTGTTTCTAGTGGAGTTTTCCAAATCCTATATGGCCTTTGAACTTCAATCCGTGCCTATGAAACAGCAGCATAGGAAGCCAAAGAAGATTTACACTCCCCATTCATACAAAAATGAGATATATATGTCTCATAACAATAAAGATAAAATTTAAGTGCAAAAATAGATCTATGTTAAAAATGATTCAATTAGAATTACTATAATGATCAAATTAATAGACAGACATAGACATAAAACTGATTTGTGTATACATCTCAGGAAATACATTAAAATTGTAGTATCAGCAGGACATGAAACCTTTTTCCAAATCTCCTATAAATCCTATATATCATATGAAATAAATGAAACAATACATATACATTGTTCAGATGTTATTAAAATGAATCAAAGTAAATACAGAATAAACACAGAAAAAATATGAAACAATACTAACGGTGAGAGTGAGGGAAGCCAATGCCCTGCCGGTTGGTAGGGAAGGCGACGAACAACCGGCTGCAGATCACACCAACCCCAATTGGCAATGTTTCAAGCAGCTCCTTGGCTTCATCAGACGGGTTCGAATAAAAACATTTGACAACATTCTGATCAAACAGTGCAACCGCAGAAAAAACAACTATGGATATGAAAGCATAAAAAAAATCAACCATTTTGAGACTGTACTTGGCTGCTTTCTCAGCTGGAATGGTTACAGACCCATCAATAACCCATAAGCCCCGCCGCGTGGCAAGAAGTCCATACCGGACTTTCCCTCTTTCATCCTTGAAACTGTCAGTGAAACACACGAGGAAGCAAGACAAGCCACAGATCCCCAAGAAGCATAATGTCATGGACTGGCTTATAAAAGAACAACATTTGCCTTCGTGTGTGAAAACCGGGGATAGAATTTGGAACGTGAGGACTGAACCAGTTGGGAGGAGATTTGCTAAATGAGCTGATATCTTGAAAGTCTTTCAAACCGCCTTTTGTCTAGGGATTTTCTTTGGTTTCCCTGGTGTTAATGGCTGATCTTCCAATAGGGGTTGGCTTAATTGTTCTTCAACCGCTGCCTCGAGAGGCGCTGCAATTTCTTGCTTGATGTTGTCCATGGCTCAATTCCTTTAGTTTCAATCTCCTGAAAGCTTGTTTGTTTTCTATGAAATAACAAAATGGTTATACATATGTATTTGGTTTATTTTGTTTTAGGTATTTGGGAGAAGACAGTGGGAGAGAGGAGAGAGATAGGCTTGCAAGAAACACCAATGAGGGACTCAAATTAAGGTGGGAAGGTCAACAAGACAGGCTTTCATGCAAATAAGTTATTTTGAATGGTATTAAAGGGTTTTTGTAACTGTAATGAAATAGGTTTTAAATTAGGGATTGTTTTAGTTGATTTACTGTAAATAGGGAGTTTCATTTGGTGGGATTGCCTGTTAAGGTGTTTTTCTGGGTTTGCTGACAGTCCATTGATGTGAACAATGAGAGAAAAATTCTGGCCTTGCTCAACTTTTAGTTGGATTCATTAGTGGCTTATTTATGTGATAATTTAAAAAAGCCTAAGACTTTGTTAGGATCATGAATTTGAGTAGTAATTTGAAACATAAAAATATGTGTGAAATGTGATTCACGAATCAAACATAGGGGGTGTTTGGAAACTTGGTTTTTGGGTTTTTGGGTTTTTTTTTTCACTACAAGACAAATATTTTACAAAACCAAATCATATCAAACCCCATAATCATTTTACTTTTTTCTCACAAACATCACATCCAACCACAAAAAAACCCAACTATCTTTCCAAACATAAAAAAAAATTTCTCCAATGATATTCTATAACTAAAAAAACTCACTTCCCAAACACCCACATAATCTATTTTTTATTTTTTGTTTTTTTGTTCTTATAACATATCATAGTAGACACACTTATTAGTACAGACACAAAAAAAGAAAAATTCTCCAGTTATGCAACCCAACCTCTTAATAGTTCTCCGGTTACTAGAAATTTATGCTCAATACCAGAGGATTATGGACTGAAGTTGTGCGATATGAACACCAAATTACATGGTTTGTAACTTTGCAGCTAGGTCTAAATATATATATATATATATATTTTGTTGATAACTCGGTATTTATCCCAATAGACCAACTAATTCTGAGACCAAACCGCCTAAATATTTTTTATAATAAGTAGATTTGGCCTTTCAGAATTACGCTTAAGTAAGAATAATTTACTACCTATTACAGCAAATGAGCAATCTTTCATTCATTAGCACAATATATATATATATATATATATATATGTTAGTCATTATATCATAGTAAGCAAATCTTTGGGTACTCAAAATTAATCTCTCCCTTGAACTCATTCTTGTTAGTCTGACTCAACATGATCTTCATTGATCGATCATCAAGTAACAATCTGCTTCTGTTTTAGAACCATAATTTTTCAACTCACACACATACAACAACCATTGAAGCTCAAATCTATTTAAAAAAAAAAAAAAATAACAATTTTACAAACAGAACCCTAATTTTTTAGTTCCTCAATCAAAACCCCAAATTTTCAATGCAAATCCCCAAATCAAAGCAATCTCCAAACCTAATTGAATGCATTTGTCTGTTCCGTCTCCTTCCAATGTTCTCCTTCCTGTCATCTTCTCTCTCTTCATCCTTCTTGAGCTTTATATATATGGTAGAGATACAGAAATATACAAAAACTATATATATTGCAAGAATTTCATAATCAAAGACACCTCAATTCACAAACAAACACCACAAAGCTTCATAAATAAAATCAATTTAATTCAGAATCAAAACACTACAAAATGTTGTAATCAACCACCACAAACTTCATAATCAATTGCCACAAATTTAATAACTATAAAATCTTATAATTAAGTACGAAATGATTTATAACTAATGCTCCGTTTGGATCAAGAAGTGAGAAAAGAAGAAAAAATCATACTTGGATGATTACAAAAGCAAAATACGAAATATAAGAATACGGGTAAAATTTATTTTCCTTTCCATGTATTTTAATGAGCAATCTCAACATAATAAAAAATGTACAACCAATGAAACCTATAAGAAATGACTACTATTGGTAAGAAATGAAACCTATAAAATAGGAGACTTCTCCTTCTCATCATTTCTCAACTAACTTGTAAATCAAACAAGAGAACCAGTTCTCACTTCATTTCTTATCAGGTCACACCAAATCACTAGATCAATAAAAAAATCACAACACAATTCTAAGTAGGGGTGTGCATAATACCGCCGAAACCGCCGAAACCGTCAAAACCGCACCGAACCGCACCGTCAAGGCAAATTTGTTATTATTTGCCAATCGAACCGCCGAT